GCCGCCCTTCTGTGCAACCGCAAGCAAAGGAGGAAACAAGAATTCGATGACGGACCCCAGACATGACATCTTTCAGAATGCATGAGCCGAGCGGAGGCTTTTCTTGACCTACAAAGAACGTGGACGACGACAACTACGTGGTGAACACACGAGGGAAGTCCGTACATGTACCCGAGGCGTCAGGCGACACAGCCGCTGGCACAACAGGAAGCACACCGACTGGACATAGCAACTCCAGACAGGGCGACATACTAGGTGACACCACGGGAAACGACGATTCCAGTCCGACCAGCAACACAAACGAAATCTATAGTAGGGAACGACGCTCCGTGCGAGGCCGTAATCACCAATTGGTACCTGTGGGCATTCCAGGAGGGAGCGAGGACTCGCCAGGAGAACCCACATGGGGACGACAGGCACACAACTGCAGTCAAGGTGCCCTTCACGCCTAGCGAGCGCATCGCCCTGTTCTACGACGCGTGTCCTGACCCAACTTCTCCACCCAGTTCAACGACACCGACGAGCCTGAGGGCGTTCACCCAGCTGCAAATATGGCTCCAAGTATATGCTGATAGAGAGAGAGAGAGAGACACACGACATCGAGCGATGGCATGTCTCCACAGACGGCACGCACCACAAACACTCGGCCAAGCACGCATGGGCAGTCGTCAGCGTCGCAGCGGACGAGGACGGATTCGCGCACCATGGCGCCATGGCCGCGAAGACGGACGACTCCAACAGCAATCGCGACAGCGGAATTTTACAACTCTACTACATCCGAATTTGCTGCCCTCAGATGGGCATAAGCATGGATCTACGCCAACACCAAGGAAAGCAAACACCGACCCAGCATCACGGTCCACACCGAATTCGAAACTGGCGATTGGCCTAGCAGAAGGAGGGTACATATCCAGCGACCAGAAGAGCCTGGCAGGACTTCCACGGATCCTACAAGACCTGGCCAAGACAGCCACAGACCTGTATGCGGTCCACATCTACGCACAACAGGGACATCCATGGAACGAACCAGCAGACTCACTAGCCACGAGACAAGCCAAAAGAGACGACCCAAGCCCCAACCTGAGTGGACACAGGCATTCCACTTCAGAGGCTGAGCCTGAGGCTGCGCCTGTGTCGTCCCAGGGGGGACGGCCCTACGCGGGGCTAGGCGGTGGCGCCGGGGCGCCGGTATCACTCGAACGTCTCATAATCGGATAAATGACAATTGGGGCTGGGGTCGGAGAGAACTGGAGTCGTAAAGTTGGGAGCCGGAGTCGGAGAGACATGCGCCGGAGTCGGAACGTCGGAAGCCGGACACGGAAGATGGAGCTGGAGTCGGAAAAATTGGAGCCAGAGTCGGAAGATGGAAGCAGGAGTCGGACAATTGGTGGGAGCCAGAGTCGGGGAGATGGGAGCCAGTGTCGGAGAGATGGACGCCGGAATCGGAAATTTGGGAGCCGGAATCGGAAAGACAGGCGCTGGAGTCGGAGAGTCGGGAGCGTGCGGTGCATCGGGTATCTTCGTGTTCGTCATCCTTTCTTCTCGCTTTACCTCTTGGTGTTGTTCCCCCTCCCGCCGGCGCTACCGGCTGGAGGGGTCGAGGGCGCTAGCAACAGGGGCAGAACCGTCAGCAACCACGAGCCACGAGGCGCAGGAGGAGGATGACATGCGATTCGGATCTTCCCCTGCTGGGCGGACGTATACTCTGTGCCCTCACGGGCTTGCATCCTTTCACATTGCCTACTTCGCACCATTGTATGTTCCGCCACGTACGCTTGCCAGCTCAATGTGCTGCGCTCTGCGCCTCAGTCGGCCATCACCTCTTTCTCCCCACACTAACCATTCAGCTTCGTTGCCCAAGTCCGCCCAACGCAAAAAGACGGAGGCACAGTGCAAACCCAAGCGCATCACTCAAGCTCCCTCATCACAGGTCCCTGGAAAAAGGAGTTACTTTTATTGCGGGAAGTGGCCCAGTCGAAGACGCTCGTCTGAGAATCCCCGATCGTGCCAAAGCACCGTTCTTGCGATTTCAACGTGGCGGATCATTTGATTGTTGCGTCCAGACGAATCTAAATCGTGCCAAAACACCATTACTGGCACTCCAATGCCGCGAACCAGTGTGACTGTTGCGTCCTGGCAATCCCAAATCGCGCCAGACAGCCATTCCTGCGAGTTCGACCATACGAACCTTTGAATACGCTGTAAAGCTTTTAAGGCGAGAGCCATATGTTGAAAACGGACCACCCTCCATCCGAGAAACCGCTGAGAACTTTTAAGACAAATGCGCGCACCGCTAGGGCGAGAACCACATTCTGAAAACGCCTCGACATCCACCCGTGAAACTGCTGCAAACGTTCAAAAAGAATGCGTGCGGCGCACAACGAACGCCAGTTTGACAACGGCCCGCCATCCATCCGTGGAAATGCTGCAACCTTTTAAGCCCAACATGCGCGGCGCGAAGGCGAGATCCAGATGTTTGGAACATGCCCGACCTCCATCCGCGAAGATGCTGCAAAGTTCAAACCTCGGATCATGCATGGCGAGGAAGTCTCATGCGAAACGCGCGGCCCGCCCTACCGATGCATCTGGGGGTGCGACAGGGAGTTGTTTACAAGGAAGAGGGTGGATGAGGAGGTGGGGGGGAGGGGGAGGGGGAGGAGGAGGAGGGGCAGCGGTCCCGAAGCCGACAGCAACAGCAATAGAAACAAAGGAGAAGGAGGATGAGGACGAGAAGGAAAAGGAGAAGGAGAGGGGGAAAAGGAGGTGGAGGAGGAGGCGAAGCCGGAAGTGGAGGAGAAAGGGGGGAAGATGGAGGGGGAAGATGGAGGAGGAGGAGGAGGAGGGTGAGGAGGATGGGAGGAGGATGGGCGGGGGGGCTCCTGGAGGCTTCTCGCCGCCACAGCTGGATCGTCGCAGGAGGGAGAGGAGGAGCTGGAAGAAGCAGCCCCTGCACACTCTGAACTTCTTAATAAGCGTGGGGGGGACCCCCCCGACGGGGGTCAACCTCACCTCGTCGTCGCGCCGCGACGGGGGTCGGAGCGCCTTCGGCGCGCGGTGGCTGCCCGCCACGGGGGTCGATGTTGGGCTGTCGGCGGGGGTGACGCCCCCCCGACGCTTATTAAGAAACTCGGAGTAGACATAAACGCTCCCAGAACCGCGCGGATCTCTTGGATGGGCATAGGACGCTTTCTCTGGCGCGCGGAGCGCACCAGGGGGCGGCGCCAGAGGTGCCGCCGAAAGGTCCAGCGCCGATCCAAGAAATCTGCGCGGTCTGAAAGCGTATAGTTACTTACGCCTGAAATCTCCAGCAGAGGAGCAGAGGTGGTAGGGAAAGGAGGAGGAGCAGAAGGAGGAGCAGCAGCAGCAGGAGGGACGGAGGGAGGGAAGGATGAAGGCGGAGGGGAGACTCAAAGGGGGAATGTTCGAGTGGCGCTGAAGTGCGCCAGAATGGGCAGGGCGAGGCTGTGAGAACCCGCACACTGGATCCGTAAGAGGAGCTCCCTATAAGGCGCGCTCCGTGTGAGTGGTGTGCCGAACTGGGCGGGGCGACACTCTGCGAAACCGGCCACAGGGTCTCAGGCTTAGCTCCCTGTGGCGCACGTCCCTGCCAGAGACGTACCGAGACGAGCTGAGCGGCGCTATGCGAACCCACCCACTGGGTCAATGGGTGGAGCTCCCTGTGAGCGACGATTCGCGCGCGGGGGTTGCCAAGATGGGCGGGGCGACGCTGTGCGAACCCACCCGCGGGGGCAATGGGTCGAGCCCCCCGTGAGCCACGATGCGCGCCAGGGGTTTCCGAGACGGTCGGGGCGGCGCTGTGCGAACATGGTCGCCTCAGGCCGCAGGTGGAGCCTCCCAGCGGGGCGCGATCCCTGCGCGCGGAGAGTGTCGAAGTGGGGGGCCTACGGCGATGGCATGAACAGCAGCGGCAGAGCAGCAGGGGCGGCGGTATTCGGCAGCAGCGAAGCCGCGGTGGCGGGCAGAGGAGGAAGGAACGACCGAACGAGAACTAGACGCCGGGTCGAGCAACGGCAATTCGGACGCCCGAAATGGGTACGATGCCCGACAACACATGCTGTATCAAACTGACAGCGGCAACTGTTGGGCAGGCGGCCTTCCGTCTCAAATGGGCCACGCACGCGGCGGCACCGACAGCGAGCCCTGGTCAACATGAACAGGAACTGCTGTCGGTCTTCGTGCCCACTCTTTCTGTACCCACTTCGTTCATGACGAGGTAAGGCTTCGGGCTGCGCGCAGACAGCCCCTCCAGGTAGTCCCGGCTGGCCTCAACAGGCCCCCGGAGTAGTCTGGGGCGGTCTCAACACCCTGGCGCTGCCTCCGGCGGCGCCGCTGGGGCGCTCCGCGCCGCAGGGTTGAGGTGTTGAGACCGCCCTCGACCACTCGGGGAATATGTTGAGGCCAGCTGAGACTACTCGGAGGGCCTGTTGAGGCCAGCGGGGACTACCTGGGGGGGCTGTCTGTGCGCAGCCCGAAACCTTACCCTCGAGCGCGCTCTCACGAGCACGCTCGTGCACCCTTGAGCAAGGCGTATAAGGCCGTAGTCTCTCACGCCTTGCCTAGAGGGCGGGAAGGAAGGAACGAGGCGGGCGCGCGGCGATGAATGTCAGAAGCGAGGGCCCAACTACACAGTCTGGGAGCAGGCCAGAAGTCGTTTCCAAGGTGTGGGGGCGGCAGGAGCGCCGCAAAGGTCCCGATTGCACCTGACACCATGGTCCTCTGCGACTCTCCCGGCGCTACAGCCGTCGGGCTACCATTAGGAACGCCGGCTAAGAGAAACGAGGGAGCTCTCCTGGACTCCTGGCCATGGCGAGCCTCAGCCACGAACATGTCCCCGACCTAGATCTGAGGAGCGACACAAAAACTGGGGCTCCTCCTGAGCCCCAAGTGGTCCTCATGTCAGCGCATTATTTCTACCTTTCTCCCGGGTGCCATCGTCGCAGAGAAGTGAGGCACGGGCGGCGACAGGAGAGGGCGAGCTC